CAGTTTCCCAGGCTATATAATGAACTGGAGAAGGAAATGGCAAACCAGTCCAGCATCTTTGACAAGAAAACCCCAAATGGGGTCACTGAAAAATGACTCAATAATAACAACAAATTTCTAAAAATCTCTGAAGATATAAAGCAAGCTTTACCTTTGCTCCTAGCATGTCTTGGTTACTACCTTCTTTTATTCTAGGAGCAGCTGGGTGGTACAGTGGTTAGAATTCTGGGCCTGGAGTCAGGAAGACCTGAGTTCAAATCTGGCCTTTGACACATAGCTAGTAAACTATGTGATTGTGTTTGCCTCCATTTCCCCATCTGTAAAATGGGAGTAATAATAGCCCCTACCTCCTAGGGTTGTTGTGAGGATCAAATGAGATAATAATAAATATTACCTTTCCCCCATTATCTTAATTCTGTATGTATTTTATATAAAAGGTCATGGCTAAGTGGAGAGAAAGCTGGTCTTGGAGTTAGGAAGACCTGTAATGTTTCATCCTCCCAATCTCCATGGACAAAGAAGTCCCCCACTCACCCCCATCTTACTGATACTTGTACAAGAAAAGTGATCCTAATAACTTGGGGTAAGGGGGGGGAGATTGAAAGAGTCTGGAGTTCAGAGAGGACCTCTGATTTCACCTTTGAAGAGGAGACCAGGAAATAAAGCCCAGTCTGAGAAGACTCATCCACAGCCCAGGTATCTGGGCTCCAGGGTCTCCCTGTGTCTTAACCTTGGACACTTGCTGAGTCTTCCCTTCCAACAGATGCAGTAGGCCTTCCGTTGACACCCCTGGGAGGACCAGAGGCTGGGAGCCAGAGTCTCAACGTGCCCCTGGATGGAGACGCTCTTCCCTGGCCTCTCTGAGTCCCGCGTCCCCCAAAGAGCTATCCACGGGGCCAGAGCTCTGTAAAAAGGAAGAGACAAAACATAGGCCGAAAAAGAAAAAAATGGGAAGAGGAGGGAGGGGGAAAGGACTACTGGTGCCAGTAATAATTGGAGCACCCCACACCCACCCCAGAACCACCACCCATCTCATCACAGAGCATCTAGGTGGAGCAGCAGACAGAGGCCTGGGCCTGGAGTCAGGAAGGCCTGAATTCAAATCCAGCCTCAGACACTTACTAGTTGTGTGACCCTGGCAAGTCTCTTAACTCTTCAGCCTCAGTTTCCCCATCTGTAAAAGGAAAGATTTTGTTTGTTTGTATTTGATGGCCTCTAAGCTCTAAAACTATGATTCTATGCTTCAGTGATGCCAAAAAGAAATAGGCCATTATTATAGTGTTTTGTAACACCCGCAAGAGAAAGCGTTTTGCCTAACCTGAAATACCTGGGAGCCAAGGAAAGGGGCAAGCAAGGCTGACCAAGGGCAGGAACAGCCAGGGATACATACACCCAAGGGAGCAGGGGCAGGATCCTGGGGTTGCCATGGTTGATGGGCCTTGGGCGTGCAGGAGGAAGGATGCTCCAGTGTGACTTGGCATGGGCACGGTCCTCCAAGCTCCCACCTCCTTCAGGGTCTAGGGCACCTGGGTGGCTCAGTGATGTAGGAGGAAGGGAGTTTATAGGGCAGCAGAGGTTCTCAGGAATGAATGTCTGATTGTTTTCCCATCTCTGATGTCATAAGAAGAAAGATGCTGGGGATTGGCTACTGAGCACCCCACTCTATAAATGGAGAGCTAGAAAAATCTGGTGCAGAAGGTTCTAGAAAAGAGCCAGGGGGTGTGGTTCCATGGGTGTTGAGAAGAAGTGATCTGTAACAGCCAAGCCTCGTGAATGGGCCTCCCTAATCAGAGGTGACAACTTCAAGGCAGCTATATGCAAAGAAGAGTGAATCAGCAAACATTTATTAGGCACTTACTATATGCCAGGTATTGCGTCGGGCAAGACAAAAATGAAACAGCCCCTGCCCTCAAGAAGCTTACATTCTACTGAGAGATAGCATGTTCCTGTATAAGTGTCTCTAAATAATATTTTTGGGGGACCAGAAGAATGATTTCATTGGTGTTGGACAGAAGTGCCAAATGCTGCGCCAGGCTGTATGCAGGTTACAACACTCTCAAATGCAGCCAGAAGTATTAAAACATAATTAGGAAGTAGTTAACAAAGAAAATATAATAGAGCAAATAATATTAATATGCAGTTTTGTAAGTTAATATGTGAGTTACTAGGTGGCGCTGTTTTTAACATTTTAACTGTTTGCCTCAGTTTCCTCATCTGTAAAATGAGCTGGAGAAGGAAATGGCAAACCATTTCAGTATCTCTGCCAAAAAAACCGCAAATGGGGTCATGGAGAGTGGGACAGGACTGAAACAATTGAATAGCAAGACAGTGTGTGACCCCATTGATATTTGAGTGTGATGGTGCAGGAGTAGGGGACTCCTGGCTAGAAATAGAAAGTGCTCTTTACCAGTCCACATCAGCACTCACCTGTGACTCAGAGCTTTTAGGGGGTTCCTGGGGCATTGAGAAGGTCACACAGAGCCAGTATATGGCCAGAGGTGTGACAGGTCTTCCTAACTCCAAGGCCAGCTTTCTCTCCACTAAGCGGTGGCCTTTTATCTCAAAATACATACAAAATTAAGACGGGAAGGGAAAGGTGAAAAGCAGCTGGAGGTGGGGTAGGGGGAAGTGGGGGCATCTGGAAAGATTTCATATAGAAGGTGGTGCTTGAGCTGAGCTTTGAAGAAAAGAGGGATTTTAAGGGGTGAAGCTGAAGAGGGAAGGCATGCTTGGTATGAGAAACAGCCAGAGTAAAACCATGAAGAGGGGAGATAGAGTGTTATGTGAGAAATAGTAAGAAGGCCAGAGTTTTTTCCTCATTGCGCCTGTCTCCAATTAAAATCTTTGACTCCAAGTTGGATGAGACTTTGTCTAGCCTTACCCCATCATCTGGCTTGGTGGGCCTCCCAATTGGGTTATATTATACCTACCTCTATACTGTATCTCCCCAGGAGAATGAAAGTTCCTCAAGGGCAGGTTGGGGTCAGACTGTAAAAGGTTTTAAATGACAGACAGAGAGGTGTGTATTTGATCCTAAAGGCAATAGGGAGCCATTGCAGTCTATGGAATAGGAGAGTGACCCACATGTCAGGAAAATCACTTAAGCAGTTGAGTAGGGGATGGTTTGGAGAGAGGAAGAACTGAAGGCAGGAAGAGCCATTAGGAGAAGAAATGCAACACAAAAGTCCTTGAAGGTAGAGGTTGTCTCCCCGCCTAACACAGGCACACAGGAGCTAAATCAGTGCTTGTTGAATTAAGTATGGAGCCTTAAATCCATCCACTTGCTTGATTGTAGAGGGTTGGAAGTCAGCAACAGACCCTTTGGGTAGAGATTGAAAGAGGCCTGGAGATCAGGTAGTCTGATGTCATTTTATCAAGGAGCCCCAGACAAATAGAGGGACATGTTTTAGGTGACATTTCAAGTTAGCGCCAGAGCCCAGATCCCCAGGCTGCCATTTTGTATTCTTCTCACTACATCCTGCTGCATCCTCAAATATTTAAAAAATATTAATTAATAGTAGTAATAAGTGGCTTTTTTGTGGGGATAATGGTAATAATAATAACATCTTCCTACCTCACAGGGTTGTTGTGAGGATAAAATAAGTTAATATTTGTAAAGTGCTTTGCAAACCTCAAAATGCTATGTAAATGCTAGGTATTAGAGCCCTGGACTTTGAGTCAGGAAGAGCTTCCTCAGATATCTGTTAGCTTGGTGACCCTGGACATGTCTCCCTGCTTCAGCTTGCTCATCTGTAAAATGGGGATAACAATAGTACTTATCTCACAAGGCTATTGAGATTCAAATGAGTTAATATATGTAAAATTCTTTGTAAACCTTAAAGCACAATATTATTATTATTGTTGTTAATTATGAGGCACGAATGGACCGTTGGGACAATTGCTGATTAGTATTGGAGTAGCTAGTACATTGTTTCCCAGTTGGGTACACAGCCGCCATGTTTCTTGCCAATGCCATTTTCCCAAAATTTAGGCCTGAGAGTCACCCTCTCACTCAGGAACTCCAATGATTACCTGTTCCCACCAGGATGATTTATAAATTACTCTGTTTTGTGTTTCCCAGCCATATCCTACCTCTCCAGACATCTCATTCATTATTCCCTTCCATGTACTCCGGCTCTAGTCATACTATACTTCTTGCTATTCTTCCCACACGATGATCCATCTGCCTCTTCCCGGCTATCCCCTTGCCTGGAACACTCTCCCTCCACATCTCCACCCCCTTAGATTCCCTGCCTTCCTTCCAGACTCAGCTCAAGCTCCATCTTCTGCAGGGCCTGTTCCAGTCCTCCCTGGTGCAATCACATTCCCTTCCAAGGATATCTCCCATCTACTCTCTATCTCTACATACCTAGTTCTTTACATGTTATCTCTCCCATTAAAATGGCAGCTCCTCGAGGGCAGGGCCTGTTTTTGTTTTTTCTTTGTATCTCCAGCCCTTGGCACAGTGCCTGGAACATAGTAAGCACCTAATAGATGCTTCACATGGATGGATCCCTGCAGTGCCTTATGTTTGTTTGCATCTTCTCCTCCAGGGACCTAGCCCCAATTAATAATCTTCATAGGAGTTCCTGATCCTCCCATTCCCCCATTTCTTACAGAAGTACCATCTTCTTCCCCCCCAGTCACAAGCAAAAGCCAATTTTGTAGAGTGGTAAGAATTTGAAGTGATATCACTGGTCATTTGGAGCCTGTTAAGGCTTGTTGGTATAAAATCAAGAGTATCGAGTATAAAATCAAGAAAATCATGACAGACAGAGAGGTGTGTGTTTGATCTTAGAGGCAATAGGGAGCCATTGCAGTTTGTGGAATAGGAGAGTAACCTACACTTCGTGAAAATCGCTTAAGCAGTTCAGTAGGAGATGGATTGGGGAGGGGAAGAACTGGAGGCAGGAAGAGCCATTAGGGTTCTTTGAGGGTTCTTTGCTGCCTGCTTGGCCTTCCCAGGGCTGACCTCTCTAACACTTCCATCTTCTCTCTAGATAACGTGATGAAGCTGGAGGAACAGAAGTTGGACCTGGAGCGGCAGCTGAAGGCTCTGACAAAGCAGATAAAGGTCAGGAGGATTGCAAGCACAGGACATGTAATCCTCATTTGCCTTGCAGAACTTGGGCTAGGTCCTGGGAAATATGAATTAGGGTTACACTGAGTTACCCTGAGTGTTAGATTCAAGAATATCTTTAAATTGCTTCACTCTTCTCTTCAGCTTTCCCATTCTCCTAATAGAGACAGTAGTGGATAATAGCCAGGAAGGCCTGGGTTCAAGTCCTGCCTCTGACACTTACTACCTGTGTGACTCTGAGCAAGTCATTTAACTTTTAATGCTCCCAGGTAACTCAGCCTTTTTTTGCATGTCTTGGATCCCTTGGGCAGACAGCCTAGGAAGCCTATGGACTTTCAGTGCATAAATTAAAATGCATAAGACATAAAGGAAGCCAATTATATTGAAATACAATCATCAGATCTTTTTTGTAAAAACTCATTGACCTCAAATTAAGGACCCTTGCTCTGAAACTATAAATTGCCAAAAAGTCGTAGACCTCCATTGGCAGATGGTGTTTGCTGATCACTGGATTCTCTGTATCAATGACCTATCAGGTCCTCTCCCCATCCTTATTCCTTTCTCCTATGATGTCACCTTCTGATCCTCAGGAAGTCCAGATTGGTGCCTGAGTGGGGCTGAGTGACTGGTGATCCATTTAGTCTTTGGGATGCCTACATGTTTTAGGATATACTTTAAGGTTCTTTATGAATGGACAGGACATGGTTGTCTATATATTTGTCATTGTTTAGTCATGTCTGACCCTTTGTGACCCTGTTGTCCATGGCAAAGATACTGGAGTGGTTTGTCATTTCCTTCTCCAGTGGATTAAGGCAAACAGAGATTAAGTGACTTGCCCAGGGTCACATAGCTAGTAATGTCTGAGGCCAGATTTGAACACAGGGCTTCCTGAGGCCAGGCCCAGCACTCTAGCTATCTCCATATTAACCTGATTAATAATTAAGATATTTAAGAATCCAGGGGGAATGGGCATAGGGAGGGGAACACTACCAAGAGCTATTAAATCAGAGGAGAAAAATGACACATTGTAGAAGATACAAAAAGATGCTTATTTTGGGGAAAGGTACTAACAATTCAGCTCTTTAGGTTTTAAAGTTAGATGCAGGGAGCCCACCTGTGAGCCACATAGCAAGAGAAAAAAGGGAAAGGAGATACTGGGAAGAAGAAGGGGGCCCATGGTTGGGATTGCCAAGGAAGACGTAAAGATACAGACTTATATGGGCTAAAACTGGATGGGACCTTAGCCATCCTTTAGTCCAGCTTCCTCAAAACTGAGTCCCAGCCAGGGAAAGTGTCTTCCAGAACACTTTAATGGCAGAGGCTGTAGGAAGGACCCAGACTTCCTGACTCTGTCCAATGACTGCTGCATCTCCACGGCTGGGGTGGCAGGAGGGGAAGATGGCAGGGCATGCTAAGATAGGACATAGAACTGAAATGGGCCCTTTGGTTACAATAATGGTGTCTGGGTTGTTGCTCGGAGGAGCAGAGAAGAGTTCTGTTTTGATAATAGGATCAGAATTCCCTTCCTTTTGGAGGTGGGTAGGTGGTGGTTGGGCTAGAGAAGAGGGGATGAAGGTGGGCCAATGCTGTGTGTCATCTCCATGTAGATGGCTCAGTGTCACCTGGAGATCAATGGGTCAAACAGAACATGGCCTCTTTTCTCTCAGATGAACCAACGTGATGCAGAGGAGGACCCAGGTTCAAGCCCACCCTCTGACGCTTCTTCCCTGGGTGACCATGCACACAGCATCCTCATCTGTAAAATGAAGCCCTTCCAGTTCTAGTCACTGCCTCTCAGATCAGCCGAAACACAGGACTTTGCATGCAGTAGGCACTTAATAACAGATGAAACTGAACCTAACTAGAATTAGATTGTTCAAGTTAGGCTGGAATTCCATGTGGAGCCTGTATGGAAACCTGCCTGTGTTGGGCTGGGCTGGATGCTGGGCTCCTAGGAGCTTAGGTTAGTAATTTATGTATAAGAAGGGCCCAGCAGAACCATTCCTTGAGAAGGCACCAGTCATTGTAAGGTTAAAGTAGGGAAGGGGTCAGGGAGTTCCCTTCAGATTGTATGGCTAGGGTTTGTTGGGTGAAGGCTTAAATTTTTTTCCCAAAAAGGATGCATTTCGTTTGAGAGGGTGGGGGTGGAAGGACCTTATTTAAAATAGGGGTTTTTTTAAAATTTCTATCTTTTTTTTTGTTTTTACGTCCCCTGTATTGCCATATTCACCTCACTTCACTCCCCAACCCAGTGAGCTGTCTCTTGTAACAAAGAATAAAAAAGGAAAAAGACAAAGAATGCAGTTCATTAAAACTGACAAACATTTCAAACCAAGGCATACTGCACATGCCATGCTCCCCACCCATAGTCCCCCACCTCTGCAAAAAAAAGGCAAAAGAGATACATTTCCTAACCTCTTCTGCCCAGCCAAGAGTAGATCTTGTAATTACATAACAAAGAAGGCATTTCTAAGAAATGGAAGCCAGTGCCATGATAAGAGCTCTGTAGACTTGAGCCAGTCTTTGGGAATGTGTTTAGTTCCTTCCTGTAAGGCGATCTGTTGTATGGACATTTAATTTGTATAAAAGTTCCAGGGGGCTCTTTAAAAAAAGAAAGACTCATTCTCCTTCTTAAAAAGCAGCCCCAGAATATTGTCCAAGTAACTCTCAGGAAGAAAAGAGGCTTCATCTCCTCTCTCTGTCCCTAAGTATAAGCACTGACTTTTACAGTACTACGCAAGTCACAGAATTGTAAGATCGTAGGCTGATCATGGGAAGGGGCCTCCAAGGCCATCTAGACTAACCCCCTCCTGCTACAAATGGGGAAACTGAGGCCCTGAGGTTAAGTGACTTGCCTAAGGTCACCCAAGTCATAAGATCATAGGTTCAGCGTTGGAAGGGACCTCCAAGGCCATCTAGATGAACCCCTTCATGTTACAAATGGGGAAACTGAGATCCTGAGGATTAACTATTAAATTCCTGAGGTCACACAGGTAACACATGATCAGAGATAGGACTTGAATCTTGGGCCTCCAACATCCAACCCAGCATATATAATTTCCATGGCAAAGTCAGGATTTGAACCCAGAGACTGTGGCTCTAAATCCAGTGTTCTTTTCTGCTCCTGTGCCAAGCTGTCATCTTTCTCTGTGACTAAGAGGCTGGTAGTACGAAGAGGTGCACTCACTACCTCCAGAGCCCCGGCATTCTCACCACCTGGGTGACCACTGCCTCAGTTTCCTTGTCTGTAAAATGAAGAGAGTGGACCAGGTGACCTCTGAGGTCTCTTCCAGCTCTAAAACTATGCTGCTGTAACTTAGGTGAAGCCACTTAGTATCTGAGCCTCAGTTTCCTCCAAATGTCCAATGGGGGGGGGATGGACTCCAAGGTCCCCTCTGGTCTTGATCTGAGATCCCACGGTCATACAGGACAGAGGGCTGGCAGGTGTGCCTTCCGCACCTAGCAGGCGCCTGCCTATCCATCCCTCTCCTCTGCCCCCGCAGGAGGAGACGGAGGAATGGAGGCGTTTCCAAGCTGACCTCCAGACGGCGGTGGTGGTGGCCAACGACATCAAGTGTGAGGCCCAGCAGGAGCTCCGGACGGTCAAGCGGAAGTTGCTGGAGGAGGAGGAGAAGAACGCCAAGCTCCAGAAGGAGCTGGGGGCCGTGCAGGGGAACAGCAGGTTGGTGCGTGCCCAGGGTGCTGACCGCGTGCGCACTGACACGCGTGCAGACGAGGCTGTAGGGCCAGCCTCACAGACGCGCGTGTGGCTGGGGAGGTTGTGCGTTGCTCTCTCTGTCTCTCTGTGGGGATCCCTCCGCCAGCCTCCCAGGGACTAGATCAGGAGCGTTCTGGCTGTCACTTGCCGGGCGGGAGAACCACAGCAGCCTCTGGTGGGAAAAGCGCCCTTGAGGGATCCAGCCGAGGACGCTCACTATGATGGAGGGTAGACCCTGGTCTTCATGACGTTCCCTCCATCTTGGTATTCCTCCGACTCTAGGGAGAGTAGCACCACCGTGTTCTGGCTTTGCCCTAGAAGGGAGATGTGTGATGGTTCTCAGGCGGGTGTCTGGTGGAAGGGCTGGTCCTTCCTCCCTTGGGTCACACTCGTTTTCTAGAGCTACCCAAGCGAATCAGTATAAGACCTCTTAAAATGGCCTATTCCATTAAAAAAACGAAAAGGGAGACGACAGAAGAAATTCATTGTTTACAGTTGATAAACAGCTAGCCTTGGAGCCAGAAAGACTTGGGTTCAAGCCCCACTTTTGGCCGTGTGACCCTGGACAGATCATTTAACCCTTAAGTGCTCTGGGCAGCTCGCAAAGGCTAAACTTAATCAGCTTTAGGAGAGAGAGTTTCTCACCAGGAGACGGCTCCAGTGAAGAAATCAACATTATTTATAAATCAAGGAAATTATGACCTAGGGAGTGGTCTTAGCTGGGGCTTGACATAGCTCCCCCTCATGTCTTTGAGCAGGCGAGACTGAGCATACTCCACCCCATAAAACTCTTCCACCTAAGAGGAAAAGAGAGGCAGCTGTAAATGGTTCCGGAGAGGAGATGGACGTTGATGGCTATGTTCAAAATAAAAGCTCTTTACTACATTATTTTGCACTCACCATGGGACTAATAAAATCTCAGAGTTTTCCTGTTTATGGTCAGGAATAAATGTTTTTACTTTGGGGTCCCTGATTTCAGGAAATTATTTGGAGTGGTTCTCTTTCGAGGTTCAGAGGCATGGCAATCATTTGACCCGGAAAACAGGCTGCAGAATTTGACCCCTTCCTCTTGGCAGAATCCAAAGAGGGGGAGGGGGGTTACCGGGGAACTAATTTGGGAGGCACTAGAAAACAAAGACTCTGGAGAGACTCTGGAGTCAGACCAATGGACCTCCATTTCCATATCTGCCAAATGGGAGGATTTGGTTTAGATGCTGAGGTCCCTTCTGGCCCTAAATCTATGACCTTAGGATCTCAAATTCCCGTTTTCATGACTTTTGGAGACTTTAGAGAATGGAATAACAGCCCTTCAAGGTCTGTTGGGGGCCTAAGTTAATTAGCCCCCACATTGTCCCTGTTTTCCAACTCCAGTGTTGAGTATTATCGATTTCTAGAGAAGGGTTAAGGGTGAGATGGAGGAATGAAAAGCAGGAGACTGGCCGCACAGTTTAATAAGTACCTGTTATATGTTATATGCCACCACAGGCCCAGGGGATACAAAAATATAAACCAAGCAGCCCCTGTCCTCAAGGGTCTTCCACTCTGTTGGAACAGACACATAAGGTCCCCTCAGAAGCAGCCTCATAATTTCAGAGCCACTCCTTAGCCACTGGCCTCCATCCCCACTGAGGGAAATCCTGGGGGAGGCCGAGCCAGATTGTATCCCCTGATGAGTGAGGTGTGCCGTTCATTATGGGGCCTACCTTCGTTGGCTTTTACGTGTCTGCCTCTCTGTTTATTTGTCTGTCTGTCTTGCTTCTCTTCTCTGTTTTTTAAATAGAACCCAAAGGCCTAACTTCCAACGCCCAATAATATTTCATCAGTCACTCAACAAGCAATTATGAGTCACCTACTATGTGCACGGTGCTGGAGAGAGAAGGACAAAGATGAAACGTGCTCTGCCCTCAAGGGGCTTACACTCTTATCAGGGAGATGATGTTTTGATATATACATACATATACACACAAGTGTATATATACATGTATATATGCGTATATGTACACAGTGCACATATACATACACATTTAATCCATATGTGCATATATACATACGTATATGTGTGGATATACACACATGAACATGCATATATATGTATAATAAATCCGAGATAATTTTGAGGGGGAAGGTATTAGCTGGTGGAGGAAATGATTACAGACTAGTCTTGGAGATAGAGAAGGCCCAGAAGGTCATTGAGAAGGAGCTTCATTTATATCATAACCTAAAGGAAACAGGCTGGAATCTAGGAAGAGAACCTTAGAATTATAGCAGAGTATACATCTCTAAATGCAGTCATACACTTTAGGACACCCTTAACCTTCAGACTCATGCTCCCTGTTTCAGACAGGATGCTTTCTCTTTTGCACTCCCAAGGCTGTCTAATTCCCATATCATGAAAGTTTCTCCTGCCTCCAGCCCCTACTTTCAGGGCTGGGGTCCCGCCTCTTGAATGTGGCACGCTGCTGAACTTGGTTTGAGGCTCCCCGCGTCCCCTTGCGTCTTGTTGCGTTGATCGGCCCTGCCTTTGGCGGATCATCAGACAATGCCTCTCAGGGACGGTTTCCTGTCTGATGGCAAGTTCCCTTGGCAAAATGCCCTTCTCCCAAGAGGTGGCTGCTCCGTGGAGGCTGACGATGGCTCGGCCCCTTCCTGAATGCACGGCAGGAGCGAGAAGCAAAGCCCGGCACGGTCCCCAGGGGCCCTGCTGCCACTGCTTTAGCATTTCCACTCTGGCTAAATGAATTCTTGGCTGGAACCCTGAATTGTAGCCTTTGTCCAATGAGGCGTGGATGAATCATTCTTGGTTCAGGCAGAGCCAGAAAACTCGCAGAAAATATCCTGGTGAATTCTTCCAAGCACAGCCTCTGAAAGAAAGGTAAGAGCCTCCAGGAAGGCGCCCTCAGACAAAAAGCACTGACCAGCTCATTCACTTTCCAATTTTGCAAAGGGGACCTCTTGGGGAGTGTAGTGATGACAAGCAGAGTAGAGATGTGGCTGAAATCTCTGGGTCTGGGTGAAAACGAGCATTTGTTTCTGACATAGTTTAGCCTGCTAAACCTCTTGGTACCACAGGGAGAGGTAAGAGGGCAAAGCAGTAACTAGGGTAGGGCAACTGGGACTTTAACGAAAGGCGCTAAATTTCAAGGGTGCTGCTGACCGTACTTTTAGGCTTTTAGCAAAGTAAAAGCAACAGAGGTTGGTAGCTATTTGACAAAAATAAATAATTATGATTAAGACAAGAAATTGAAATGACATACCTAGCTCCTCATATCTCATATCTCATATCAGCCGGGAAGGTCTGATGTCAAGATATGCCTCTGACCCATGCTGCTGGTGGGACTCTGGGTGACTTACTTAAGATCTCAGTGCCCCCAGAGAAATTTCTGAGAAGGTAATGAGCTGCATCAGTAGACGTTTCCTCTGCCAGTGAAAACCCAGGTGTAGCCCCTAACTCTCCGGTATTATAGGTAGGAGACTACTAGGTGGTAGGCTGAGGCAGCTCCTCCACCCTGACCTTTTCTCTCCTGAGCACCCCAGCAGGCCAAGGTCTCCCCCCACTCCCCCTTAATTGAACCCATGGTCCACACCACTGACCTCGCCTTAACTCCTAGTAATGGTTCTTTAGTTCTGAGCCTTCATTTGACCAAACCACTTTCTCTAACATGGTTTTCTGGAGGATGGTTTCTGTAGAGATGGTTTCTGGCCATGAAGGCCAGGAGCCATTGGCACTACTGGCTTCCCACACACTCCCTTACCCACCCCACTGTCCCCACCCCCATTTGGATAACCCTGTTAATGTTTCTTTGCCTGGTCTCCTTGATCCATCAGGAAATCTGGCCAGCCCACCTTGCCCACTATCAGAACCCCCATGAGAATCATCTCGAAGCAGGTAATTCTGAGCAGATAGGGAAGCAGGGATTAAATTCTTGAACTTTTCTATCACAGTTTATCCTAATTTAAGACTTCAAGAAGAAAGATGTAGAAAAGAAAAACAAACAAACCTTCCTTTAATCATTTAAATACTGACTGAGCTTTCTGGCCTGGCTGATCTCTATATAGGAACTGTGAAAGCAGGGGCTCTTAAGCCTGTGTGTGTGTCATTGGCCTGTTTAGTAGGCAGTGTGATGAAGCCGATAGACGCCTTCTCAGAATCATGTTTTCATGAGTGCATCAAATAAAACCCATGGAAACCAATGATACTGAAATATCAAAATACTTTTTAAAAACCAAGTTTATGGACCCCAGACTAAGAACCTTGCCCCAAATTCTGCTAAGCCACCAAAGAGGTTTCTTTTTTTCTTTTTAAGCATGAGCTAACGTGTTAGGGAAGCTAAGATGGCTAACACGGTGCAGTGGACAGAGTGCCATGCCTGGAGCCAGGAAGACTCCTCTTCATGAGTTCAAAGCCAGTCTCAGACACTTGCTAGCTGTGTGACCCTGAGCAAGTCACTTAACCCTGTTTGCCTCAGTTTCCTCATCTGTAAAATGAGCTGAGAAGGAAATGGCAAACCACTCCAGTATCTCTGCCAAGAAGACCCCAAATGGGGTCACGAAGAGTCAAGACATGACTGAAAAACAACTAAACAGCAACACGTACCCATTCCAGAAGCATTTAAGATGTATTTCTCTCATTCCCAATGACCAAGCATCATTTCTTTCTAGGTTCTTACATGTGCATCTTTATCAAATGGTATCAGATCATATCCAAGGGATGTCAGGGGAGATAATTATGTTAAAGGAATATGCTTTTTTCCCAGCACTTTTGAGTGAAATTTAAAAAAAAAATGTTTACCAAGATTTTATTTATTTTTACTGCCTGTAGTTTATTTTTTTAAAGTTTTTGTGGATGCCTTTTGTTTTTATATCTGAGTTATTTCCAAATAGGCCTGTCTTCTCCTTCCCAACCCCGTCATCCTTCTCTTGTAACAAAGGGAAGAATAAAAGTTATGTAAAACCAACCAGTGTATGAATCACAGTGCTGCCACTTTAGTGGTTCTATCACTTTTTTTTAAAAAGCCCGAAATTCACAGCGAGAAGCTTGGCCCATCCCATGGATTCCTGTTTCTTTTCCTTCTTTATCCTTCTTTCTTTTTTTTTTTCGTACATTTCCTCCTATTGTCACTTCTCAAGTGCGCAGCCTGGCAGACAGCACGCGACACACGAACTCTCCCGAAACTAAGCTCCCACCTGGTCCGTCTGCGTCTGTGCGAAGCCCCGATGTCCGGTCTGTGTGCGCCAGTGTGTGGCCCTTCTGTGTCTTTCTTGCAGCTGTTGTGTGTGACCGAGCTTTCGGCAGCTCTCCTGCCGCCAAAAAGGGGGACATGAGGAAGATGGAGGTAAATCCTTGAACCTGCCTCGGACCCGCGCCCCCGTGCCCCCTCTCCTCCGAGGATGAGGCTTTGAAATAGAGACACTGGCCCCCGTTGGAGAGCATCCCCTGGGAAGCCCCTGCCCACACCCCGGGCGAGCCCTTGAAATTTGCATATATTTACATACACACACGTGCACATACACATATGCAAACACTGAAATGCTTCTCTCTGAGAAGCGTGCAGAAAAGTCTGTCGTTTCTTGGAACAGAGCAGTTCTCCCACAGTACACTCCTTGCATTTCAGTCTCTGCCTCTGACACAGATCACGGATGATGATTAATCAATGGACATTGATTAAGTAGCTGTGCGCTGAATATGTGATGGGGCTGCAGAGACCGAAATGAAATAGCCGTTTCCTCCCGGCGGACTGCCTTCCCTGATGGGGAGTTCTCAAATTATGAGTGAGTGAGTGAGTTCTTCTGGGACCCTGCAGGGCATCTCCACACTTGGAGTTCCCTACCTTGATGAAGTCACAGATGCAACTGCTACATACTTGGAAATTGCAGAGGGCGAGTGCCCACACACAACAGTGGAGGGAGTTTCCTCACTGGGAGTCCCCAACACAAATGAAATCATGGATTCCCTCTAGATAGAGACAGATACATATATACATACATACATAGACAAGCAGATAGACAGATACATACATACATAGACACAGACAGAGAGATAGATAGATATGTATATAAATACATCTATAAATATAGAGATGTATCCACACATGCACATACTTCAAATCTTTGTAGTAGTAATGGGTTGTAGACCTAGCTTTTTTCTGTGCTCTTGAGAGACTTCAGACTATAGTAATAAAATAGTCTCTCTCTCTTTCTTTTTTTTTAAATTCTTGTCTACCCTGTTTCCATAGCTCCGGGGTTCTTCACTTGATGGCATGGACCCCTTGGACAGTCAGTCTTGTGAAGCCTACTGACCCCTTCTCAGAATCATGTTTTTCAATACATAAAATAAAATGTCTTAGATTACAAAGAAAGCCAATTATATTGAAATACAAATTTATACTTACATATATTTTATGTAGTTACATAGAGTTATCCATATGTCAGTGTAATTGGTTTCTTTTGTTACATGTATCTTACAATATTTTGTAAAAATATATATTTATGGGGCAGCTAGTAGGGTGCAGTGGATAGAGCACCAGCCCTGGAGTCAAGAGGACTTGAGTTCAAATCTCACCTCAGACACATACTAGCTGGGTGACCTGGGGCAAGTCACTTAACCCCAGTTGCCTCCAAAAAAACAAACAAACCATACACACACACACACACACACACACACACACATTTATAATTGGTTGGTTATTGTCCTTTGTTCTCCAAGAGGACCAAAATGACATCACTATGTTGGGGTCCAGGTACAGTATGTCCAACTATGGCTGATCAGACCAGTATGAGCTCAGAAAACTCTACCACAGATCGAGTATAATAATATAATATTATTATATATAATATATACACCTATAAATAATGTACACATACATAGACACACATACAGGCATACATACACACATGTGTGTATGTTTAAATATATGTGTGTATATATATATAATATATATATATAATATATATATATAAAAATCAAGTTCACAGACTCCAGGTTAAGAACCCCAGTTAGACCCTCTAGACCTCCAGGACAACAGAGGGCTACATAAGTCACTGCCTAAATTGGCTTTTTCTACTCCAAATGACCTTGACTTTTTAAAAACTTGGCTATGCCCTGCCAACATAATTGTAAACCGATGGAGACCCAGTGAGAAGGCTCCAGGTTTTTGGCATTTGGTGGTTGTTTACGTAAGAGAGAGAAGAGCCTCAGTTAGACCCTCTTTTAGCGGCAGGTTTTTCCCCCCTCCCACAGATAAGGTATTTCCAGTGTAACCCTGACGTGGAAGCCATAAAGCTGAGATCTCTTCACATTGTGTGATGCCTTTACCATGCCTCCCCTTCCCATTTTTTTCTTCTGTTTTCACAGTGCCCTGGTCTCTGCCAGCTAGCACAGCCCGGAGCAAGAAAAAGACAGAAAGACCTGCTCTTGCCATGACTGGACACTTCAGCCTCTTCTGCCTGAAGGGGGAAATCTTTATAGGAAAAGAGCATTTCTTTACAAAGAGCCAAATTATTTCCCAAGTTATTCCCACCCTCTCACACCGTGGGAATGCAGCCTGTTTGTGTTACACCCCATTGTGGATGGAGTCACCGCCCTGGTCAGCCTTAACAGTCATCATCCTTTTCTTCAGTCCTTTTTCTCCCAAGATGCAGCAGGTTTTCTTTTCAAGATGAAAATAGAAATTTCTTTGGATACATTATCCCCCTGGCACACATAGGAGGCGAGTGAAAAATTTCAAGAGTTTGGAGTACCACACAGAAGGAGAATGCCAAAGCCCCTTTTTCCAGGACATCTCAGGATCACCCTGAGAACAAAATGGCCAGGCGCCTGTGAATTGTTATTGGATTCCGTTCCACGTCGCTCATCTTAACCGAAGAGAAAAAGTGGCACGGGAATTCCAACATTGTGGACAGCCCAAGACAGGGGTTTTGTTTGTTCATTTTGTTTTGTTTTAGCACGTGTGTGTGTGTGTGTGTGTGTGTGTGTGTGTGTGTGTGTGTCTTTCTACTTCCATTTTAACATGAATATTCTAAGAATTCACAATATTTTAAACAAAATGAAGCCATACTGTGAAGACTTGCCTTGGACATTGCCAGAAAGCTGTACCGCCTCTCCATCCTACTTTCCTATTCCGTACCTCCCCTGCACCCCAATGAAATACTGTGTAACACACCCACTCAACTGATACAAGGTGATGGCCCTGGCCCCAGTTTGATTTCCAAGAGTTTTTCTGATAGATCATAGCATGGATGCAAGAGTTGATAGCAATGGATGGCCAGCAGAGGGTGTAGTTGAGCAAACAGAAGAAGACTGTTGCTCATACTAAGCTTCCCTTAACTGAAAGCCAGAGACAACAGACGGATGGAGCCAACCTACCTTGAACCCCTATGGGTTTTTTTTAAATGGCGTATACCACTAGGTGGCGGTGACGGACCCCGAGTGGAACAAGGCCTGAACTAGGTGGTGAAAACTTTTCTGGAGTGTCTTACAGAATGTGTGAAGATCTGGACCGAATTCAGCAACTTCCAATAGTCAGGAACCTCCCTTCCCCCTAATTTGAGGGCCTGGTCAATAGCAGGCGATGCCAAACAGAGTTTGGTTTGTTTTGGTTTTGCTTTTTTTTTTAATTTAATTTAAATTTTTTTTTTTTTTTTTTTTTTTTGCAGCATAAATAGTCAATGCATGGGGTGAGAGTAATTGCCCACCAACCATAATGTCCGGTAGGGTCAAAGTGTGTATAGCTTCTTCTCAGGGCAAGTGTATGGTCAGGGAAACTTTCCCTGGTGTCGGCCTGGGGAGTAAAGAATCAGTAACAAAAAAATCTCTCCGGGCCATCAGAAGGAAGGTTTCCGATGCCTCTGCACACAAGTTTCAGAAACTGCCTCCATTTGTCCTATGGTGGGTTCTGGGCCGTGCAGCTTTGCCATCTCCCTAGGAGGGGGATGCTTAGAGTGAGCGCATGCCAAGAAGGGTGCCCAATGCCTTCATGTGTGACATGAATGAGCAGCTCATCTGCACCCCACCCTTTGGGCCCTCTTTGCACCGTCTGTATCTGCCACTGGCTTTTATATGTGAAAATTATAGAGTGAAGTGATAAATAAACCTGGCCCTGTTCCACATAGCCTCTGGAGTGTTGTTTAATCATTAGCCACTTGTCTGTAGCTCCGGTGTTTTCAAAGGAAAACCCTTCAGGGTTTTTGGTTTGGTTTTGTTTTTTATAAAAAACAAGGTGTTGGGAGCAGAGCTGGGAGAAGGAGGCAGCCTGGGACAGAGGCTACCAGGGTCCCAACCTTCCTGCTGCCAGCAAGCTGCATTTCCAAGAGAAGCCAGAAGATTGAAAGGAGAGGGGGAGAGACTAGGGATGTGAGGTGGCAGATTCCTGTTTTCTCTATTGTAGAGTGTTGTAGGGCAGACTTAACAGATTTCAAATGGATACCAGCTGGTAAGGGGAGCAGAATCAGTTGCCTTGTGAGAACAAGAATCAATCAACAATACTAGGTGCTGAGGGTACAAAGAAGAAATAAAGGGGGTAAGGAGGAAGCGGGTAAAGAAATCACTGATTTTGTGTTTAATTCATTTTGGAAAGAAAAGAAAAGAAAACTAGGCCTTCAGACAATAGAAGATGTTAATTTAGAAACACTGTGTTTTTAGTTAAAATTCAAAAGTAGGGTTGGGATGCTACCTGTGTAAAGAATGCCTTCTAGTTCCCGTCTCTTAACAAAATATCAAACAAGTTTTAGATTTTTATTTTTGTAAGAAAAGAGTTGGGTAGAGCAAGCTTAGCCTGAATGTCAGGAGAAATCCCTAGCTCTCCCAAAGTGGAAGAGGCTGCCCCCAGGAGATAGCAGGGTCCCTCTAACTGGAGGCCTTCGAGCCAAAGCCGCATGGCCATTTGTCTGAGGCGTCACAAAAGGGACTCTGGCACAGTTTCACTAGGTGGCTTCTGAGGTCCCTTCTAGCTTTATTAGCTTGTGATTCTGAGAATCAGAAAAAGCCGCTGGTGCTCTTAAATCTATAATACATCTTTTTTTTTTTTTCGTGCTTATTCATTTCAAGTTTTGGTTTGTCTTGACTCCATTAAACCTAGGTTCTCATCCTGGCCCCACTACTTGTTGATGATTTGTGACCTTGGGCGAGTCACTTTCCCTTGGGAGGTTTTAGTTTTCTCCAAAAAGAGGATGATAGGAAGGTTGGACTATAACATACAATATGTAATATATAATATATAATATATAAGGGTCCTCTATCGTTATGATATTCATTTTGTGGTTCTATGATGATAAATCTTTGGTTTACTCCCTCGGGGAATGGCAGTGTGTGAAAGGAATGATTTGGTGGATACTTTATTTTAAATATCCTATAGTGTACCTAGGGAGGCAGTGTGGTCTAGGGGCTAGAGAGCCAGCTTCAGTGTTAGGAAGGCCTGGATTTAAATCCTGCCTCATATAGCAGCTCTCTAAGACTTAAGTCACAGAAAAGATGCCTAGCTGTCTTGAGAGAGGACATTCCTTGCCAAGAGTTCCCTACCCCAAACAAAGGGCTGGCTTTAAAAAAAAAAAAGTCTTTCCTAAATAATTAGTAGAATCTCTTCCCACTGATGCCTAAAAAATAAACCCATCTTTTTCTGGTGGTCTTATTGGAATGTACTCTCTAAACAGTACCTTGGGACAATGAGTGGACTAAAATATTCCTACTGGATATCAGGAACAGAAGTTTTGGTTTCATCCAATTTCCTGGGAAGGAATCACATTAGCTTTGGTATTACAAATTAAATCCAATTGAGTTCTCCGCTTTTTGTTATTGTTGTTGTTGTTACTGTTGTTTTACTAAACAATGGAAGATTTTATTCATTCACTGGTTGATTTGACAAACGTTTAGTAAGCTTTTGCTCTGGGCAAGGTGTTGTGCTAGGCACTTGGGACAGAAAGACAAATGGCAGATTTTGGGTAATTGAAGGAGATTGGACAAAGTCATCAGAACTCCAGGGTTGGAGGGTGGGGGGCACACTCAGAACTTTCTTCTTATTGGATTACTGGAAAATGGAATTAAGATGGATTTCCGAAACCATCTGCCTTCCAGGGATGGCCTGCATTTCAAAAAGGCTCAAAAGTACCCTAAGTGAATTGGTTAAAGACAAGTCGCCAGTTCCATTAAAGACCTCCCTGGACAGTGTCAGGAATAGAAACCCCAGTCATCTCCCCCGTCTCTGCTGGTAACTGATTTGGCCTAGTAGCTTCCCTTCCCGCTTCATGATAAGTCATTTTTCGAAAGGGAAGAAATGCCACAAGGTCAGTCCATCATGATCCATAAAGTTTCTTAGGGGATAGGGTACTGGAGCTGAGGTCAGGGTCTGTGTTCAAATCCAGCCTCAAATACTTACCAGCTGTGTGTACTGTGGCAGGTCATCTAGCCTTTTCCTCATCTGTAAAATGGGGATAATAATTCCTGGAGCACTGACCCTCCCAGGTTCATTATGAGGGTCCAATGAGTGTATGCATTTAGTGCTTTGGCAAACTTTAAGGATCAATGGCAATGTTAGTTATTATTGTTATTATTAACCCTGGACTGTTACCATAACCTGCTGCTTGGCCTCTGCCCCAATTCTCTCCCCATTCCAATCCATCCTCCACTTAGCTATCACATTGATCTTTCTAAAGCTCAAGTCTAACCCTGTCACTCCCCCCTCCCCCACTCAATGTACTCCAGCAATGCCCTAACACCTCCAGGACCAAATATAAAGTCCTTCATTGGCTTTTAAAACCCTTTATAAACTAGCCGCTTCCTACTTTTCCAAGCAAATACCTCCTTTCCACATAGTCTGGGGTCTAGTAGCACTGGCCTCCTCACTGTTCCTCATCCATGGCACTCCGTCTCTTGTCTCCAGACATTTTCGCTGGTTGTCCCCCATACTGGAAATATGCATCCTCCTTCCTCATCTCCACCCTCCGGCTTCCATCAAGTCCCAACTAAACTTCTACTTTCTGCAAGAAGCCTTTCCCACTCCTTCTTAATCTTAACCTTCCCTCTGAGATATTCTTCAATTTATCCCTAATACATGTATCTTATTTGTACATAGTTTTCCAGTTGACTCCCCCATTAGATTATAAGCTCCTTTCAGACAGCATTGTCTTTTGTCTCTTTTTATCTCTCCAGAGTTTAGCACAATGCGTAAGAAAGTTTGTTGTTATTGTTGTTAAGCCGTTATCAGTTATGTCTGACTCTTCATGACCCCATTTAGGGTTAGCTTGGCAAAGATACTGGACCAGTTTGCCATTTCCTTCTCCAACTCATTTGACAGGTGAGGAAACTGAGGCAAACAGGGTAAAGTGACTTGCCCAAGGTCACACAGCTAGTAAATGTCTGAGGCTGGATTTGAACTCAGGTCTTCTTGACTCCAGGCCTGGTACTCTAGCTGCCCACCTGGGATATAATAGGCACTTAATAAATGCTTGTTGATTAGATAGTTTCCAGAGAGAGAAGGAGAGAGGGAGAGAGAGAGAGATATGTTGGTATGGTAAAAAAGAGGTTTGAGTTCCAGTGTTATTTGTGCTATTCACAGTGTGACCTTGGGCAAGTCACTTGCCCATTTTTCTGGACTTAGTTTCCTCATCTCCAAAAGGAGTGTGAATAGATGTGTGCTGGGTGGGAGGCTGCACTAACTGTTCTCTACTAAGATTCCTTCCAGCTCCAACATTCTCTGGCTCCTTTACTCTGAATAGCTAGTTAACTGCCTGATGGGGTTGAGCAGATTGAATAGAGAAACAGAAGAGAGAGCTAGGTCCTGGGTAGGGTTGGAGGGCAAGGGATGGAGGGGTTTCATTTTGGGGTTTTGTACTGGAGCTATATCTTAGTTAGGATGGACTACTGTTTTTGTTGTTTGGAGAGCTCGGTGCCCAGTTCGGTTATTCAAGAGACAGAAGGCTGGGGACGTGAGGAGCTATAAACTAAGTCTCCAAAGTTTGGGACTGTTAGAATCATTCGAGCCAAGATTATTAGCACATTGTTCACATTTTAAGCCTCCACAGTGTTTATTGACATAAATGAGCAGGACGTTCTCCCTTTGCGCTCTCATTCCACGTCCAGCTAGCCCCTTTCCTTGACGCAACACAGTGGAAGGTGCCAGACCAGGACTCTGGATTCTAGCCCTGGCTCTGCCACCCAGCTCAGCTGTGTGACCTTAAGCAAGCTGCTTCACCTCAGTTACCTCCTCTGAAAAATTGGGCTGGACAAGACGATCCCCAAGGTCTCTCGCCAGCTCTGACATTCCGTGACTCTGTAATGCTGACCGATGCAAAGTTGGCGCAAAGGTACCAGGAAGCTTGCAGCAAGGCAGGAAACCCGTCCTCACCTGGAGACCTAGAGCATCCTCCCAGAGGCTTGTTTAGTCTAGCGCTATTGTGGTAGACACAGCTGGCTAGATCTATACATAGAATCGCTATTTTGGGCCCAGCCCAAGGAATTTCTCAAGAGAAATGCTATCTTATTTATAAGTGCATAATAGGCCCCCAAAATAATTTCCTAACACAGTGGGTCCAACTGGCAAAGAGAAGGAATGAGTTGAAATCCTACCCCACCCCCAGTTTTGCTTGTTTTCTCATCTTTATTTCTTTGTCTCTTTCAGAAACTTCCATGTCCCACCCTGGGCCTCTCCTGACTCATCTTGTTCTGCCTTTTGCTCACAGGCCTGTAAAGGAAGAGCCGGACTCCCCAGAAATGGATGGTCCCAGTCGGTGGCAAGGGGTCTGTGTGAGCAGAGCTTCTCCGACGCCTTCAGAGTCCGCCGCTACTGTTAAGTCGCTGATCAAGTCATTTGATTTGGGGTGCTCAGGTACAGGATTCTTCCATTTCAGGCATGGACCCTCATCCGCCTTGTTTCCCCACCCCCCCTTCCCTCTGTCCACACACAAACCAAATACGTCCATCGTGTGGTGAGGATGGAAGAGTGATGAGTTCTTACGGCATCTGTGGCCTGGTTATCACTACCAAGAGACTAGTGCTGAATCCCATAGAGAGTCAGTCTAGAGACGGGAGGATGGATTGCTTGGCCAGGCTCAGCGTGGAGCCTTCCGCTGGAGTGGAAATGAGTCTTGACTTGCTCCTCGTTGGCTATGTGACCTTATG